TTTTGTTGACTGAGTATACTAGTAATATATAATAATGAATTACACATTTGATGAGGAACTTCTTTACATTGAGTGTTAAGAGAACAATAGAAAGGACAACTTCGATAACCCTTTATTAGGTAAGCAGAAGTTATTTTATGTAGGTTAGGTAAAAAGGAATGGCACATATTTGCATTATAGGTTCAAATATCATAATTTATTGTATTTTGTAATTTAGATAATATTATTATGTCTTGCCTGTCCTGAGTATAACAATGGAAATATCTCTTATCACTACCTACTTTTTTTAGACCTTCAAAATAAAAAAAATTATTTAATGATCTTAATGACAAACTATTTTTAGAAAGGTATACACTATCTAAACAATGTGTTAAACAATTATGTTTAAATTATTTATATAAGCCGAAACGTTAAAAGAAAGTGAAACGAAATGCCAAATAATAAAATTGACAAATTAAATAATACAATCACTTATCACTTATCACATATCTTAATAACCAATGAAAACGTTTGAATCGAGGTAACCGCTTTGGTTACCCAACTAACGTTTTGTTAACTTAACAAATATAGTTTAACAATAATAATGTTATGGTAAAACTCATTTCATTTAACCAGATGTTAAATTTAAATGAATTGTTAACTAGCATTGTGTTAAACTATATTTGACAATAGTTGGTGAAACCGGCTGATGGTATTTTTCAGTACTTTTTTTTTAAAACATTCACTCCTTATGGTAGTACCGCATGTTCTTCAAGTGGAGAAATGTCCAAGCAACACAAAAGCGGACATAACATTTCTAGACTGAGGCCGTTTGTCATTAATTGTAATAAATCGTCCAGGCGAAAGCACCACTCAGGGTTAGGCTAATGTAAAAACACTTAGATACCTCTAGTGATTATGTACACCAAATTTTCAGAAGCTGGTCTACAAGTAAATACAATCGGTCTTAAGACTGACATTTTTATATTGCGCGAATATGTATGTACATATTATGTTGTTACACTTATTACTATTATTATTGTTTGTCCGAGAAAACTGGGACCACTGTGGGAAAGACAAGATAATAATAATATACGGTCAGTGTTTTGGTAATCATCTGCGGGTCACTTGCCTGGTATTAATGCATTGGCTATGACGTGTGTCCGTGTAGCTAGCTGTACTTATTGGCTAGACCCTAGAGATCCGGTCGGCGAAGAAAGTATAACAGCGTGCGGACAACGACCACAATGATATGTTGTTGTTTAAGACGATGACGATGATGTATGCAGAAGAAGAACAACCGGATCGGAGTACCGTGTTGGCAATAAATAAAACCCATCGCAGCCAAGAATGGGATTATAGCTGTGGATTTGCTCACTGAATGCATAAATAATTTTGCAGCACGCGCGCCAAAGTCTAGATCTTTGTCGGCGATAAAACAAAACCAACCGAAAGCATCAGCTTGATAAGTACATAAACAGCTCTTGGGATTAATTTTATGTAAGCCGCGCGTTGAGAACGACATTACCGTCATGACCCTGTTTTACTTTTGATAGATACAGTCGATTTCACCATTATTTGTTAAATTATATTTAACCATAACTTAGTGAAAATTTCGGTTTCTTAGAGATGTGTTAGCATTAACACATTGTTAAAACGATTGTTAAATTAATCACCCGAAATCGGCTTGTTAAAATGTATTGTAGTACTTATATCTAATGTTTATATTATTATAGTTCAGAAATTGTTTTATAATTTTTGTTGACTGAGTATACTAGTAATATATAATTATAATAATGAATTACACATTTGATGAGGAACTTCTTTAAATTGAGTTTTAAAAACAATAGAAATGACAACTACGATAACCCTTCATGAGGTAAGCAGAAGTTATTTTATGTAGGTAGATTAGGCGAAAAGGAATGGCACAGACTTATATTATAGATTCAAATTTCATAATTAATTGTATTTTGTAATTTAGATAATATTATTATGACTTGTCTGTCTTGAATATAACAATGGAAATAACTCTAATCACTACCTACTTTTTTTTAGGCCTTTAAAATAAAAAAAAATTATTTGAATGACCTTAATGACAAACTATTTTTTGAAAGGTATAGACTAGCTAAACAATGAGTTAAACAATTATGTTTAAATTATTTATATAAACGGAAACGTTAAAAGAAATTAAAACAAAATGCCAAATAATACCAAATTGACAAATTATATAATACAATCACTTATCAGTTATTACATATCTTAATAACCAATGAGAACGTTGGAATCGAGGTAACCGCTTTGGTAACCCAACTAACGTTTTGTTAACTTAACAAATAGAATTCAACAATAATAATGTTTTGGTGAAACTTATTTAATTTAACCAGATGTTAAATTTAAATGAATAGTTAACTAACATTGTATTAAGAGTGTATTTACGTTTGGTTTAGCATTATTCTTTTTAGAGTTTCGTCATAAACGTATACATTTAGGAATGAGATGTCAAAATTGAATGCATTTATCTATGTCGACTTCCACCTTGGTAAGATGGAAATTATTCAACAACTGGACGACGATGATTTTTTATTATTTCCACCAATCGTTTTTAGAATGAATGTAAAATAAGGTTTATATCAAATAAAATGTTACACATAAATTAATTATCACCAGCTTGTCGTCCGGCCTGATTCTATTTATGATGCCTTCCATTCTTTTTTAATTTTTTTAGCAGGTAAAACTGCTATAATGTCATTAATACGTTTAGCATTTCCTAAATATTCCCGTTCTAAACGATTTTTTCTCTAAAACTTGTCCTGTTACTATTAAAAATAGATGTGTTTTATTTTAATATTTATAAACTATTTTATATTTTCATGCAGTTTACGTACATATTATGTTTTAACATCGGATCCGTTTTTAAAGCGCACCATAAATCAATTTATTAATGAGTTACCTAATTAAACTGGGTTTGTACGAATCACTAACATTTACAAGTTTGTATACAGGTATAATTAATACTATGTTGATGGTTCAATTAAAAAGTAACGGTATTTTGTAATCCGAAAACATCAATAAGTAGCAAATGTTTTTGAATATCATATACATCTACAAATTATATATTTTATAGCAAGTATTAACAAGACTTTAACAAAATGTGTCTAATATAAACCTGTTTTAGTATTTTCAATTGCTTTCAAAACAACTCTTGAAACTTAAAACTTTACCAAACCCAATAATATGTTTTAAATAATAAATTATTTCAATATTAATTTAAAAATGTATGATTTAGAAATCCTAATTTCAATACATTTTAATTATATAACGTTATATTATTCGAATGATTTCAATAATTTGTTATGCAAACAATCTCTGTTTGATATACATTGTACATATTTTTCGGTATCATTTTGATTTACTAAAACTTGAAACAGAAGTACCTTTTTCAAAAAGTAACATCACAAACGTTATTTAAAAGTTTCAATTACAAAGGTTTTATTGAAAGGTTATACTACCATTTTTTGATAAAACGTTTTTAAGTAGACTTTTATAAAAATAAAATAATTAAAAAATTACTTTTTATAGAACTTTTGTTTTAAGTATTCCCATACATTGATAGGCATGACAATTTAAATATCGTTTGAGTATAATTTGTTTAACATAAACTTTTACTTTAAACAAATACTTTGAAATTGAATCTATGATTAAAACCAGAACTTTGTGTCGGGTTTATCGTTTTTAGAAAGAAGAGATGAACTTATATTCATTTTAATTACTAGCACTGACTCTCTTTTGGCGGTGTGTCTGCTTGTAATATACCAAATATTATGCTGTTTCCGAGCAGGCCCGTTCTCTCGTGGGACAGACTATAGTTCTAATGCAGCCGGTTTCACCAACATATGTTAAGAATTTAACTTATGGTTAATTATACTTAACAACTAGTTAGTGAAAATTGGGTTTGATCGAGATTTGTTAGCCTTAACACATTGTTAAATTAATCACCCGAAATCGGCTTGTTAAAATGTTTGTAGTACTTTTAGATAATATTTATATAATTATAGTTCAGAAATTATTTCATAATTTTTGTTGACTGAGTATACTAGTAATATATAATTATATAATAATGAATTACACATTTGATGAGGAACTTCTTTATATTGAGTTTATAGGAAAACAATAGAAATGACGACTTCGATAACTCTTTATTAGGTTAGCAGAAGTTATTTTATGTAGGTAGATTAGGTAAAAAGGAATGGCACACACTTGCATTACAGGTTCAAATATCACATTTTATTGTGTTTTGTAATTTAGATAATATTATTATGTCTTGCCTGTCCTGAGTGTAACAATGGAAATAATTCTTGTCATTACTAACTTTTTTTTAGGCCTTCAAAATAGAAAAACATATTTTAATGTCCTTGATGACAAATTCTTTTTAGAAAAGTATAGACTATCTAAACAATGTGTTAAAACAATTATATATAAATTATTTATATAAACCGAAACGTTATAAGAAATTAAAATAAAACGCCAAATAATAACAAACTGACAAATTATATAATACAATCACTTATCAGTTATTACATATCTTAATAACCAATGAGAACGTTGGAATCGAGGTAACCACATTGGTAACCCAACTAACGTTTTGTTAACTTAACAAATAGAATTCAACAATGATAATGTCACGGTGAAACTTATTTAATTTAACCAGATGTTAAATTTAAATGAATTGTTAACTAACATTGTGTTAAGAGTTTATTTAACAATAGTTGGTGTTTTGCAACTGCAACCGGAACTTGAATAGCAAATATCAATCGACCAGAAACCGTATATAGTACTATTATCATCATTAGTTTGTACCTTCGAGGGGTCAAAAGTACTACAACCTGTGAACAACAAATTTCTTAATGTGCTAAACGGTTCAGCCGATATAATATAAATAGCCGACTTGACCCCGGCTTGTTTTCTTACATAGCCGTACCGGTTTTTGAAAATTAGTGTTTGCCATTATGTGTGGCCTAGACGTTGTTGTACTATAATAACTGCAGTTATACAACAAACGATGATCATTATTATTATTCGGCTTGGACGGCATAGCGTGCGATGATAATATATATATATATATATATTTTTCGTATAATAACTGTGGTTAATCGTTAATCAACCGTCGGGTGTCGGGACGACCGGGTTTTTAGTTGTGAAATCCTTCGCGATGGCCGATAAATCCCGGACGAGTAAAATAATAATATTATTACAAAAAACCGGAGAATAAAAAAAACACTTCCGAACACCAAAAATCGGTTCCGCCGCTCCACGGGTAGTAATAAGTAAGTATAAGCAGTACAAACCGACCAATCCGCATTTTTTCCCATCCGCATGGACACTTCTTGTAGGTATTATAAATAACACCTGATAATAGTGTTCGAACACAATAATAATTATGTACCTATATGAAGATGATGGTGATGATTTAGCGTCGTTAATCCTAGACCGCGACCGTGTCGACCGCCGACAACAATATGTTTCTCTGTGATAATATATAGGAATAGGAGAAAATTAATATTACATGGGTAATGTCTAAACAAAAAAAAAACTTCAGTAATTTTCTTCGATCAACCGAAAAACATTTAACCGCGGATATGTTTCGGTAAATCTGTTAGCTGCTATCTCTTATCTCTTATCATTCATCTGTTATCGCTTATCACGTTTATGTTATATCCATTGATATTTATACTAATACTAGATAGCCGTCTTTTTCATAATCACCCTGAAATTAGTTTAAGCCGCCGCCATATGTAATGTAGACACGACAACGGGTAAAATTAAAATGTCTAAAGGCATAAGGTAATTCGTAGACCTAGTAAAAGGTCTATGGGTAATTTATACAAGATGATAAAGCCTAATATTGATAACGTTTGTTTACCAAATTGTGCCTACACTGCATACGGCCTCAGCTTCACTGATAATTCGAAGACGGTATATCTATGGTTATATCTTATCACTTGTCTCTTATCTCTTATCGTTTATATCTTGTCTCTTATCACTAATGTCTCAGCGTGACGCGAAAATAGCGCCATGAGTTTTATCGCCATACCATATTTGTATTGTTTTAATAGGTATTTAATTAGGTATTCGTTTTGCAATAACAAATGTAAATAAAAAATGTATTTTCTATTTGTAAGTACACCCATATGATTTTATCAAAAGAAAAAAGCCAGCACAGTGGGACGGAGCACTTGTTTTCGGACACCTGTTGTCTGTTGATTCACTCTACCATAGCAACCTAGTGTTTGACTAAAAATGTATGGGAAAATTGTATACCATGTTATAGCCCCTTCCTAGATCTACCTCGGGTTTAATTTTCAGACCTAAAGATTTGAAACTTTGCTCGAAATTTAGAAACAAAGTAAAAGTTTCCACCCCTTCCAGGGAAAAAGGGTTAATGATCTTTTTAGTGGTTTGTCAACGTTTAACGGTAGTACCACCATATCTGAAGAATATTCCATACTGTCCGTGCTGCGACTAACGTATGGGGTCCACCCGAGGTGACTAATGACAATTATAACCTGTCTGGTACATTATAATGATTAACTAAACCTATATTTCATCCGTTTGCACTACACGAAAATTATAAACTTGTCGACTTACCGCCAGGGTGTCGTCTTGTGTGTATGTGTTGTTTGCTTTTCCATACTTGTCTGATTAATTATTGTTTTATTTCCTATCACTTGGTTACTTTTTATTTTTTTTATTTTATAAATAAACGTGTACACCGTAAGTCGAGTCAGAGTTATTTTCTTATAAATGCAAACAAGATGTCACTTCCAGTGGTGTTTTTTTTTCTTATACAATGACATTAATCCGGTATGTTGGCAATTATTCACCGGCAAGTGTTATAATATGTTTTTCCAATAGCATTTGAAAAATTACAAAGGTAATTAATAACACCGCTCAAGTAACACCGTGCAAAATAGTTGATCGTTTTTCCTGATTGCGCAAAAAATATTGTACAAAATATGTAAACTTTTGAATTATTATTTTTTTTTTAAACGTTTATCTCTTGCCGGTATTACTTGCTGTGGAGATTGTCGTTAAGTTCAAATAAATCCAAACGGCCAGTTACATTATTCAAATCACGAGTATACTCTTTTTCTTATTCAGGGCACAGAGGATGGACATGATTTAAGTAAACCCATGATTTCATCATATTAGGGTTAATAATTCTCAACAGTTCAACTGAATCTTCTACCGGTAGGAACAGTTAAGTGATGTGTGTGACTGTGTTTGTCAACGCCCATACAACAAGATGAGTGCACATGCAATCCTGTTTCTCGCATTACCGATTGGCTTCACACCAGACCGGACAAAAATATGCGCTATTGCGGTCTATTGAGGTTACAAAATCCAGTCATGATAACTCATACTGCGATGCTAATCGCTGTCGTATAAACAGATTTTTTCGTTTAATTAAAAAAAAAAAAATATATATATATATAGAGATTGTAATTTATCGAGACCACAGGAAATGATCAAACTCATCAACCGACTTGTCCTGTCCATTGGTGTCGTTATTAATCATTTCTAGACTCTAGCGTGTAATCTGACGGACCTGTTTATTAAACGATACCATATTATCATACAAAAATCGATTATGAAGTTTTATACTAAACAACATATTTTTCACTACCGTTGGTTCAGAAAAACCATTTCGAGTTATTTCGGTTTTTGAGTATCGGCAAGACGTCTAGAAGCGATCCGTGTACGGAGGAAACTTAAGGTTTAAAAGAAATCGTCAACTTAGCCAACTCAGAAGGTTAGGTTAGGTAGGGAATGGAAGGTCTAGAAAAGGTCTTAGACTGGCATTTGTCTACATTTGGATGCAACTCGACGGAATTAAGACCAGCTCATCAAACCCACGCTGTAACAGTAAACAGTCGGATAATCTCCATGTCTTCAGCAAAGGCGAGGAGATGTTTAAGGTTCGGGAAGACTTTTTTATGCCATTGAGGAATAGTCCAAATACTTAAGTGGAGAGATGTCCACCTTGAAGAATTCCAGAAGTGACAGACCAGACCTTTGACTTACACCTATGGATTTTTACATATTGGAGCCTATCAGACAGATATGATTCGAACCCTGATTAAAATTAACTGATACTTATTAAAATTACTCTACCATGTGTTTGTTATTAATACAATGCAATTAAGTGCACTATAGTTGACACAATTGCAATAAGTCGGAGTCAAGTATAATGGTCGAATTTTAAACAGTATATTTATTTTAAGTACTCACATGTATTATAAATATAGCATATTATTCTTTAATATTCGTATACCTAATACTTAGTAGTAGTCGTCTCAGATATTAATCAATAATAATAATAATAATAATAAATTTAATTGTTTAACACATACGGAAGTTTACATAATGTTTGCAAAACGTATTACTCTATAAATGCATTGATGGATGGATTCTCTATGGTAGAATTTTGTCAATGAAAGTCTTGATATCTTGAAGCTCCTAAAACGGAAATGCCCAATGTAAGACTCATAGTGTACGACAAAATGTTTATATAGTTTACTTTTTCGTTGACTTCGTGCTTTAATCCTTCGTAGACATTGAACACGTACTTAGGGTTCAGGTCGGACATAACGTCAGATGTTATCTGTCCCCATCTGAAAGGAATGACCGGGTCGTCCGTCCCGTGACAGTGCAATGTTGGAGTGTTTTCGTTACTAGAAGCCGCCTAAAATGACAAAAATGTAAAATAATATATTTTATCAGAACGAGTTTCATTGTTGTTTGCCAGCAATTAACTGCACAACAAAGTTCAAGAGGATTGGGAAAGGATCCATTCGCTATAGGGAAAGGTCCGGGAATCAATCTCATTATTCGCCATTTGCCATACAAATGGAGTCGGCCAGCCAAATCCGCTTATTTCTGTATATTTTCATTTAACACATCCACCCACTACTAATTAGGTCTACCTATTTCTGATCTCTGCCACTTGTTTTACTATTTAGCTTTTCTCACTTCTTTCAACATGCCCAGACCGTCTCAATCAATTTTCCGAAAATCTTCAGAGTAACTCACGTCGGGAAAAGTTTTGTTCATGGGGATCCAACTGGACATGATGAAGATTCCGCCAAAGCGTTTTGGGTAGTTAAGGGCAGAGTACACAGCCAAAGCGCCGCCCTGAGAGAACCCTCCTATGATGACTTTGCTAGCAGGCACCCTGCTAGTAGACAGCTCCTGGTCGATGATTCCATGGAGGTTGTCCATTGCACGCAAGATGCTCGATTCGTCTTCGGGCGTGTGTTCGTCCAGATGGTGAATGTCGAACCAGGCTGCGGTCGGGAAACCCTTGTTTAACGTCAACGGTAACTTTTTCCTGTGAGAAAAAGCAAGTATTAACCGCAAATGAAATGGATACATATTGGGTGAGTCTAGGAGTTGTGCATCAATTGTTGGGAGAAAATGAGAGAGAATAGGTTGAGATGGTTCGGTCGTGTCTTGAAGAGAGACGAGGCAGAGGCAGTGAGAGTGGAACACCGAACAAAAGATGCGCAGACGGAATAGAGAGTGCTATGATGATGGCTTTAAAAAACGTTACGCCAAAGATACTGCAAAAGGCACTGATCAAATAGTAAAAATACCAAGAAATAATAATCATGACCGTGTAAAAAATATAATTTTGTAACTTTTTTAGCTTTTAATGAATATTTCGCACGAAAAATGTCCAACACTAAATTTTACATAAAAAGGAAACGATTTATATTCTGTCAATCTCCAAGTTGTCCCTTCGCGTTACATTCTCCCCGAAATCTCCATCACAAATATACCGTTGAATAAATTGTAAACGTCTTTCAAAAACAGATGCGTCCGCCGTTTTCAATATTTTCATAATTCCATCACTGTCGGTTACACTTGTTTTAGATAATAAAATGTTGTACTCACGCGTTTGGGCAAATCACTTTGACGTTGGGTTTCGTTAGTTTCGACAGTATCTTCGACCATTTCTCGCTGGAATATAAATACTTATTATTATTATTTACTTTGTTGATTTATTTGAATTGGTTATTGAAATGAAAAAAAAAGTGTTGTCTATGTGTCACATCTTGTGGACGCTTCATTTACAATTTTATCTTAAACTATGCGAGATAAAACGTTGATTCTAAGCTCATCAAAAAAAGGTTTCATCGAGAAGATACAAATAAATTATTTAAGTTTTTTACAATTAAAAGGACTGGCAATTTTAGCTAAATTTGTCATTAGCCGAGCAGGTATCTGAACCGATGAACGGGTTCTGTTTTTGTGGTCTTATCAGAATCACCTTGACACTGTAGAAGTGCAGTGAAGAGTTTGAGAACTTAAGATCTAATATATGTATAGTTCATTCACTGCAGTTATTCAAAATTGTATATTATAAAAACTCATCCGCACTCCCCTCAAATTTTTTAAAAATGAATTGCCCAACAGTGAAATATTACTAATAAGAGTTTGTCCGGACAAAGTGGAAACGAACAAACATCTTTTAATTTCTACGTTATAACATTGCACGCTGTCCTTCAACCTTAGCTGTTATCATTACATCACAATGGAGTACAGATTAAGGTATAATTCGACGCCATTGAACCTGTTAGTTGTATGACTTTGAAGGTATTATTGCTTTATAGTCATTTTTTTAATTTTTATTTTTTTGCTGATAATATTCTGAATTCGTGTATTTTTCATTCCACGTACATGTGCTTTTTTTATCATAAAATATAACCTATCCTACAGCGATCATCGATTGCGCAATGTTATTAGATTTTTAGTATTATGTTTATAGCCACATTCGATACGGTAATGATGTTATGTTGTTATTTGTGTACGGCGACCTTCTCTCTCTGGCTGTTTAATATTAAACAATTGGTTTAACAAAAAAAATCAGTACCGTAAATATTTTAGTCTTATTTCAATTTTAAGCGGTGTCGTCGGGGCAAAGGTCAGGCCAAAGGGCAAAGGCACGATTCTCGCCGGCTTAATTTCAAGTACAGTTTAACATGTTAAGTAGGTGGTACATGCCACAATAATATTGTAGGTACTGATTTATTTGTATTGTCTTGTACGTACCCAGTTTCGCCGAGACCGTGCATGAAAATGATCTAAAATCAAAAATATGTAATAGTTTTAACGAAAATATTGTAATATGTTTTCTCTATTTTCGCTGTACTTACGGTTGCCGTGTGTTTTCTAGTGGGCGCCACTACGAAAGCGTCTTCTGACATTCCGAAGAAATTGGAACTGCTGCCGCGAGAAAGTAAAACTATAAAACAAACCAAAATCAATGGCTAACCAAAAGTCGTACAAGTGAGGTTGTTTGCATTAATATTTTAATACGAAAAAAAAAAACACAAACGGTTTTTGCGCATTAAATGGACGCTTAAAAACTTGGACGGCTCAATGTCGAATGACCGTTCTAAGGCACACAATATCAGCGCTAACGTCTTGGGTATGTATTTCAATACAATATTACAATCACGCCAGTTGAGTTTATTATATTTTGTTGATTGCCAACGTTTTCTTATCTCGGCCATTATTACATATATATATACATATTGTTAGAGAACGCCGTTACTCGGAACGCACTTAATTTTTATTTATAAAGTATATATATTAAATTATTTATTGATGCGTAACCTAAATGTATCGTACGGATTGTTTTCTTAAAGGGCAAAAGTCCGTGGGGTGTCTACGACCTAACGAGCGGGCTTAAGTACAAAAGGCCCCATTGCTAAAACCATCGGTTACACGCGTGATTCGATTGAGAGGTTGAACGAAACACCCACAAAACGGTTTTGTCGAAGTTAGATCTGGCCTCAATCGATTCACTGGCTATATTTATCAATATTTAACATTTCTCATAAATCAATTTAAGTAAGTGCCCAACTAACAAATGAATTTGACTATCCTTATATCCTTAATAGGAATACCCTAATCTCTTATCTCCAACCGCTTATCTCTTATCTCTTATCTACAATCTTATATCTCTTATCAGATAATTATTTATCAGCCGCTAAATCGCGCAACGTATCCATGTCAAAACAAAATGCTACAAAATTTTTAGTGAGATGATAGACGTTTGACTTGGCTTTTATATAAGATAATTTACATACAGATCAAATTGTGTAACCTCAGAAAAAAAAACATCTTAAAAAAGCTTAACTTTCTCTGAAAACTATAAGAGACAGAGAGTCGATTCTAAGCTCATTGGAAGGAGCTGGTCGAGAAGATAGAAAATAAATTATTTAAGTTATTTACAACTAAAAAGACTGTCAATTTTAGCTAAAAATCAAAGAATTTTACGTAGTACATGACCGACCCTGACTTGGCGAGACTTTGTTGACGTTTTCGTTTTAACTAGAGCACATGACATTAATAAGTTTACTGCTAATTAGCACAATTACTTACAAAATAAATCTAGAAAAATATTTCATTAGACATGATAAACGATGAATCTTATACGAATATATTATTATTATAAGATATCAACATGATTCTGACAATGTCAATGATTGTCAAACGGTTATGGTCATCAATTATTGTTATGTGTTTGTTGATACTATATTTCGTTACCAAATTCATAAAGTAATTAATTGTGTAATGCTTATTATTATTTTCATTGACATTTTAATTTCGATAATTATATTTCTTTAACAATCAAATAACCTTGAAAGTCTTGATTTAACAACAACAATAGTTTATTAATTAAAAAAATAACTATCAACGTTTAAAGACATATATTACTTTTTTTATTTTTGTGACTAGCAGTTAATAAGTAGAGATGTCCCCTAATGTGTTATCATTCAGAATTATCTACTATCATTGCATAGATCTATCAGATTTTTTAAAAAATAAAAAAGTTTACCCATTCCGTGGAAAGGGTTGATGATTTTTCACTTTAACTCATCAAAAATATCCTTCACAAGTTTGCCGCCTTTTTTTGAAATTGAAAATTATGACAAAGGGTTAAGTTGTTTTTTGCTCGATTCCGAAGGGATAAACTTTGAGGTTAAGTGTTTTTTTTGCACTGTAAGTTTGAACAATTGTCTTGTAAGTATTTGTATGTTTGTGGGCGGCTCGCTTTGAACAAAAGTTATTTCTTTAATCGGTCGAGTATGATTTTTTTCCAACTTGTATAAACATTTTTTAACGTAGGTTCCCCAGCACGGTGTCCGTGAAATTTTCACTTTAACGATAATGGCAGTATTGAAAAATTAAACCGATCATTAACCCAAAGATGGGTTGGCCGCACAAATTAGTTTTATGTCAATATTAGCTCCGTAATCGTTTAAGAAGAAAAAATTTTTTAAAAAACTCAACCGCCTACTCCGCCCGGCTAAAAAAGTAAAGACTGTTATTAATAGGAGTTATTATATTATTATCATCATAATTATTATCATTAATTTTGGCGTTGGGTCGTGTGATTGATTTTAACGTTTAGTAAAATCTCCAAACTTGATTGATTTTTTTTTTTCAATTAAGCCGCTAATATTATAATAATATATTAGTTGCCAAGAACACAAATGTGTGTTGTTAAGAACTCTTCCGATAATTACTATGCTAGAAACATTTTTTTATAGTTATGATTTAGATAATAAAAAATAATTGGTTTCCTTTTGTTGTCGAATTATTTATACTTCGTTAGATAGTTTTTAAGTTGGCAAAAAACTAGTTTTATTCTTTAACAAACATTCGGTTGTAAGGAAAAACCAATTATTTGGTTTTAATGCGTAAAATATTTGTTGCCATTTTTTTACACTTAATTGCAACAATATGTAATTGATTTTTTTAAATTTAATTCATACCGAAATGGAATTTTTATTAAAAATGAGATAATAATAATTTTAAAAAAAACTCATCGCTAATATAAATACCGGAAGTAATTAAATTCCGGTATTATTAACTTATTAATAATTAATCAATAAGTTTTAATGACCTAACGAAGAAAAAAAACTAAGTAGTTGTTTATAATACTACAATAAATAACGTTAACCTGAGCAAATTAAATCGCTTAATGTTAATTGAATTCATACTCAAATCAAAGGCGATAAAATAGACGATTTTTATTAAAAAAAATCAATAAAAAAAAATCTCGGTTTACAATAATTATACTTAAATTTAATTAAAAATATCCCACTTGTAGTATGATCCACCCAGGAAAAAGACTATTCGGATTAAAATTAGTTTGATGAAAAATTGAAAGAAAAAAAAAAAACTACTTACGTTGTTTCGGAGCTTGTTCCATCGTTGTTTTTTTTTAGTATACTATTTTCAACCGTACGACACTTGACTATAAAAACACTTCCTCAGATTGTATACGGTCAAACGTTACAATTAGACGATTTATAGTGGAAAAATATGCTATAAAAAAAAAAATGAAATAATATGCCAGTAAATGAAATTTCAAACTTCGGATGATGTATTTTTTTTTTAATTCGAGGGTTGTAGACCACGAACACTGACGATTCTACCGATAGTGGCAGTCCTACAGTGGATAGCTGTTACAGATTGCAGTAAAGAAATTTTATCAAGATAAGACGTTCTGAAATTAATTGATTTCACCGTGTGCATTCGGTACAATACCGATTGTATACTGCACTACAGGACAGAGTAAAATGTTTATATAGTGTGGACCGTACTAAATAAATATATATATATATATATATATTTTATATGTTAAAATTCGCTAACGTTATCATACTAAATTTTTTTTTTTTAATTACTGTTTTATAATACCTTGTACAGCGAGGCGTATAGATTTTTCTGCAATCAAATTGCATTTGAGTTTTACCAATTTGTATTTTGCATTTACAATTAATATCCCACCAGACCATATTTTATAATATATAGTCAGCCGGTTTCACCAACATTTGTTAAGAATTTAACTTATTGTTAATTATATTAATTAACAACTAGTTAGTGCGAATTGGGTTTCGTCCAGATTTGTTAGCCTTAACACATTGGTAAAACGATTGTTAATTTAATCACCCAAAAACGGCTTGTTAAAAATATGTATTGTAGTACTTATATCTATATATTTATATTATTAGAGTTCAGAAATTGTTTCATAATTTTTGTTGACTGAGTATATTAGTAATATATAAAAATTAATTACACATTTGATGAGGAACTTCTTTATATTGAGTATTTGGAGAGCAATAGAAAAGACAACTTCGATAACCCTTTAAGCAGAAGTTGTTTTATGTAGGTAGATTAGGTAAAAAGGAATGGCACAGGCTTATATTTTAGGTTTAATATCATAATTTATTGTATTTGGTAATTTAGATATTATTATTATGTATTGCCTGTCCTAACAATGGAAATAATTCTTAACACTCCCTATCTTTTTTTAGTCCTTCAAAATAGAAAAAATCATTTTAATGACCTTGATGACAAACTATTTTTAGAAAGGTATAGACTATCTAAACAATGTGTTAAAACATTATATATTAATTATTTATGTAAACCGAAACGTTAAAAGAAAGTGAAACAAAATGCCAAATAATACCAAATTGACAAATTAAATAATACAATCACTTATCAGTTATCACATATCTTGATAACCAATGAGAACGTTGGAATCGAGGTAACCGCTTTGGTAACCCAATTAACGATTTGTTAACTTCACAAATAGAATTTAACAATAACAATGTTATGGTGAAACTTATTATATTTAACCATATGTTAAAATATTTAAATGAATCGTTAACTAACATTGTGTTATGAGTGTATTTAACAATAGTTGCTAAAACCGGCTGATAATATATTACTATAATAACTACAAATAAATAATATTATATGCGAAAGTATATAATTTAAACTAAACTGATTCAAATAAATATATTCAAGTAAAAAATGTTATCCCAGATTGTGCTTGCAATCCGCCCTTTGTTCAAACATTCAGTTAGAATTATTATTACTTAAACGTTTTTTGAGATTTGTACTTTGTGGGTAAGAACGTTTGGCAACAATGTGTAGATAATGTATGCATTAGTGTAAATTATTCTATTTTTTTTTTTTTTTATACATTGTTTGGTTTCTTACATTTTTAACCATGACCTATTTTTTATAAGTACAAGGCCTACGGTCGTATGGTTTGGATTATTTTTTTAATTGTTTCTGTTATAAACAAAAAGACTGTAAACAGTACACATAGGTTATTCCTTAAAGAGGTAATCTAAAAGTCTAATTTTCAGACTTTTGAATACAAAAAGCCGCTTTGAACTGCTTAAAAATATAAATAATTTCCAGGGTACTCCCTTTATACTCTAAATGGCTTAGTCAAACACACTTGGACCGTTTGAAACGTTTTTATTATTCCACAATAAAAAAAAATTTAGGTACGATGACTAATAGCGTAATTAATTGTTTTTATTATTTTGAAACAAATCCGACGAGGTAACGGTGACCTGTCGGCCTGCGATTTGGATAAGGCAATTATTATGAAGCACGTGGGCTTATGAGTCAGAATGCTATAATATATACCCAATGCGTATGAGTGTTTATATACATAGTATATAAAACATCTAAAAAAAAAAAATGTAATTAAAAACAAGATTCCTAAACGATTCCCGTTTGCGTTTTTCAAAATATCCATCAGAAAAAAAGTTACAAAGATTTAAAAAAAAAAAGTATAGTACCGAATATGACCAGTGAAACTTAAACACGAACAACATTAAAGTATAACATATAATGAATAACATTAGTCATAAAGTAGATTTCTCATAAAATGGGTGAATATTATTTTACATAACACACATCTGTGCCATTTAGTGGAAATATGTGTTTTTATGATATAAGACTTTAAAGTTGTGTAGTGAATGAACATTGAACTAGATCAGATAAAGTCATGGATGAAGATTTGCGCTGTGGGGGAGGATTAGTGCTATTCAAAAAAACCTATGTTTATTTTTTAATGAGATTTAAATAGGAGAAACAGGGTTATGGAGGTGAATTAATAGAGATAGGGAATTAGAGATAAATAGATTAGATTGATAGATAAATAGATAATAGATTAGAGATTTTAGATTCCAGGACATCTTGATATTAATACTGATATCATGTTACTTGTTATTTCAGAAGTTAAGACGTTCAAAATTAATCTTCAAAAAAAAAATATATACACTTTTAAAATGTTCTTAGTCACTTTTCCATAGGAATTCTACAAAATCAAAAATTGTTATTTTTACAAACGCTCTTTTTAATCTTATTAGCAAGACTTTGAAAATTAAGGCCAACTAACTGATACTTATAACTATTAACTGTTTAAATTTGAATAAAATACATATTTCTTTTATATTCGATTTGGCATCAGTTCGGAATGGTTCAAAGATGTCCATTATAAAACCTATGCGGTATTCACAACGAAGGATTTGTATTTTATTTTAATTATATATATATATATATATATATATATATTAATCCTATTACTACTTATATACATATTTTATGAATTAAAGACGTATTATTGCAATAGAAAGAATATTCTATCGCTCGGCGGTATAATGCACAAGAATATATTATTATTATTATTATTACTACTACTTGTGTACCTACACGGTAAACCTGTTTTTTAGATTAAAGAATACTTTTTATTACCTATAGTTATTTTTACCCGTCTACCGATTGGCATCGTTCGGGTGTGGTACAGTGTTCCACTGTTTAAAATAGAGGTACTTAATAATATTCCACATCCCAGTTTCTTCTATAAGTATAACTAACGATAAGTTCACTAATTTATTGCGGTTGGTGGCGAACGATATTATGATATTGTGTTTTTCAGATAAACTAAATACATAAGCTGTTTCAAAAATGTATCATATGTAGTTATTTTCCGGGTTACCTATAATTCCTCACAAGGTTTGTACGATTATTATTCACGGCAGGTAGGTCAACGGAGTAAGCTTTTTGATTTAGATTTAATCTCGCGCAATAGCGTTGGTTGAAATAATTTTTAGGCAAATAAGTTATAATTAATATTGCTAGTTTGTTAATTTTTTTTTTTATCTTAATTATGCGCAAAACTCTAGTAGGTTAATGATGTTTTCGATTGTTGATTTTATAAAAATTCCCATCCAAGTGTTTGTTGAATATGACTTATGATGAAACCACATTATACATGATAATATTTGTATGCATATAATTATTCACAGGACCCGGAAGTATATGATCTAAAATTAACCTATACAGGTGGTTTTATCCACCGTGAGCCACTCAATATCTCACTGGGATTAGTTAAGAATTTAATGTTGTGTCAATTTTCCACAAACTTTTATGCACATGATTTGAGTATGTTATGACTTATATAATGTCCCTGTTGAGCGTTGAATTGGCTCCTAAATAACAAGCGGTTCTCAAAATATTATACTTCATATGAAAGTTGGAAATGTATGTGACGCTCATGTTACCTATATAATGTTATATACATGTTGTGTTATATGTTATATACATCTAGCAATGGATTTAATTAAAATTTTTATCTAATCATTATTGCTCAGCTATTTTATTCACCGCATCCGATTATCTACAGTTTCCTAAATGAACTGTATTGTGTTCAGCCTTGCTACTATAATTATAATAATAATTGTAAGAAGCTCTAGTGTAGAAAGTCCACACAGACAAAATAATCCAGACTAAAAAGAATTCTCATTAAATTTAAATATATGACATACTGCGGTGAAATATTTAGATATCAGCACATACAAACATTAGCAACAAATCTATGAGTTATAATTTAATTTTAATACCCATAAGTGATGACCTACAGTAATGACTGTAATAAAATACCTATTCCATTTTTTAAAAATTATTTTTAGTCATATTTTTTAGTCTATAAAACTTTTTTTGCAAAATATAAGAAAATAATAATGTCATTTTGGTAACCAATGTATTTACGGATCAAATGTCGAGAGAGCCATTTTAAAAGTGACATCTTGGCAGCCAATTCGAAAGTAGGTACCTTTAAGAGTGAAAATATCGACTACCTGGGTTTGAGAGGCAATTCAGTATATTATAATCAATTTGCACCTTTTTAGTTAGTCTTCTTTCACGGTTTGTCTTGAAGTACCCATACAAGTCAAGCAACATGCAATTTTCAAAACGAGGGCATCGAAATAATATCTTCGGTTTCTTTTGATTTAGCCACGATTTTACTTTCTGCCAGGTTTGGTATACATATCAGCTCGATCACAAACGAATTGGGTCAACAATAATTAAATCATTAACGACTCAACAATGTAAAAAAAAAAAAAAACAATGTACCGCACAAATAGATATCTCGTTAAACTAGATATTATTATACATTTCTGGTTAATCGTGCATTTCTCTTCATTGTCAGCTTCGATTCCCATGGTCGTTAGGCAACCGATTTGCTTGTTACCACACCGAAGCCGTCTTATTAATCAGAGACGGCCATAAAGATGCACGATTCTAATTACATTCGATTCCGTTACTTTGTATACATTTGCCTTACTGTGTACTATGGATGCCCTCGTTCCACCGGTATTGCGGAACGTAGACGTTTTGTCTGCGTTGAAATATTTTTACAAAAAAAAAAAAAACCATTTAAACATTGACATCGATTCCTTACAAAATGATCGA